TTCCTATTGCTTAGATACTCCCTTATCCACTGGAGCACATTACCTTTTACTCCTGCCTGCTGCTCCAACTTTTGTAACAGCCTTTTGTGAGGTACTGTGTTAAAGGGTTTCTGACAGTCCAAGAAAATGCAGTCTGCCCACCCTTCTCTTTCCTGCCTAATTTGTGTTGCTTTGTCATAGAATTCTATTAGGCCTGTGAGGCACGATTTACCATCTAGGAACCCATGCTGGTGGTGTGTTACAAAGCTGTTTTCTCCAGATGCTCTACGAGCCTTTTCCTTACAATCTTCTCCATCACCCTGCATGGTATACAAGTTAGGGAAACAAGCCTGTAGTTCAGTGCCTCTTGCCTGTCACCCTTTTTGTAAATTGGGACTACATTAGCTGTCTTCCAGCTTTCCGGAAGGTCTCCCGTTTCCAGTGACCTGTTATACACCATAGAAAGTGGCACACTTAGTGCTTTTGCACCTTCTTTTAGAATCCAATGTGAGATTCTGTCAGGCCCAACAGCCTTTAACACATTCAGCTCCAACAGATTCCTTTTGACCTCATCACTGGTGAGGTAAAATTCCTCCAAGGTTGTTCGGTTTGCCTCCTGATTTAGTGCAGGGACCTCTCCTTGTTCTATTGTGAAGACCTCCTGGAATCTCTTGTTGAGTTCTTCACACACCTCTTTCTCGTCCTCTGTGTATCTGTTCTCCCCTTTTCTCAGTTTCATCACTTGTTCCTTCACTACCGTTTTCCTCCTGATGTGGCTGTGACCACAGCCACAGGGTCTTTTGGTTGGGTCTTAGGTTTACTCACGATGTCATTTTCATACTGTCTCTCTGCTTCTCTCCTCACTCTGATGTACTCATTTCTGGCCCTCTGGTATTTCTCCCTGCTCTCTGGTGTTCTGTTGTTCCTGTAGTTTCGCCATGTTCTTTTACTCAATTGCTTCGCTGCCGCACATTCCAGGTTGAACCACGGATTCTTCTGTTGCTTTTCATTTTTCACTTTTTGGGCTGGGTTAAACCTATCTTCAGCCTCCTGACACTTCTGAGTGACATAATCCTCATATCCTATACAGTCTTTTCTCTGAGTTCTGTTTCCCATGGTATTCCCATTAGGAAGTTCCTCATCTCGTCATATTTTCCTCTTCGGTAATTTAGTCTTTTTCCTTCCAATCCCATTCTTGGATAGGTTATCCCTACATCTACCAGATACTCAAATATCAATACACTGTGGTCACTCATTCCTATGGGGGCTTCATATTTGACTTCCTTTATTTCTGAGTCATTTAAGGTGAATATCAGGTAGAGTCTAGCTGGTTCGTCATTTCCTCTCATTCATGTGGATCCCTTGACATGTTGGCTCAGAAAGTTCCTTGTACTCACTTCCAAAAGTTTAGATCTTCATGTGTCTTCACCTCCATGTGGGTCCCCATTCTCCCAGTCTATCTTTTCATGGTTGAAATCGCCCATCATTAAGAGTCTGGATCCATTCCTGCAGGCAATTGAAGCTGCTCTCTCTATTATGTTAATGGTAGCCATGTTGTTTCTGTCAAACTCTTGTCTGGGTCTTCTGTCATTTAATGGAGTGTTGTAAATGACTGCCAATCTTATCTTAGGTCCACCCATTGTCATAGTTCCTGTTATGTAATCTCTGAATCCGTCGCAGCCCGGAATTTCCATCTCTTCAAAGCTCCAGTCCTTCCTTATCTGCAGAGCCACTCCTCCTTCTCCTCTCCAATCTCTCTCTTTCCTTATTATATAAAAGTTCTTTGGAAACACAGCATTTGTTATGACTCCTGAGAATTTTGTTTCTGTGAGTCCTATTACATCTGGGTTTTCTTCCTGCGCCCTTTCTGCCAGTTCACTTGCTTTGTTGTTAATCCCATCAATGTTTGAGTACATTGCCTTGAAGCTCACTTTCCTATATCCATTTTCACCCACTCTCCACACTAGTGCAGGAAGCTGTTCCATGGGCAATGCTGCTTGGGTAGGCTCATCCTCCTGTGGGGTAGTTACTAGGGGTTCTGAGGGAGGTGGGGGTGGGGGGGGGGGGAAGGAGGGGAAGGGGGAGGATGGCTTAGAACTGGGGTCGGGGATGGAGGACTTAGTTCGTGACTGGGCCGGCTTGGGGCAGGAGGAAGACCAGGGGGGTCTTCTCCTGTTGTTGTTGTTGAGGCAGGGTGAGGACACTATACTAGGTGAGGTTGAGGCAGGGTGAGGACACTATATTAAATGGTGTTGAGAGAGGGTGAGGACACTATACTAGGTAAGGTTTAGATAGGGTGAAGTCCCTACATTAGGTGGCGTTGAGTCAGGTTGATGACAATATACCAGATGTTGTTGAGGCAGGATGAGGACACTATATTGGATAGTGTTGACGCAGGAGTGAGGAAACTATACTAGGTGGTGTTGAGGCATTGTAAGGACACTATACTTGTTGGTGTTGAGGCAGGGTGAGGACACTATACTAGGTGGTGTTGAGGCAGGATGAGTACACTATTCATGGTGGTGGTAAGGCCAGGTGAGAACACTACTAGTTGGTGTTGAGGCAGGGTGAGGACACAATACAAGGTGAGTGTCAGCAGGACGACGGCACTATACTAGGTGGATGTGAGGCAGGATGAGGACACTATACTAGGGGGTAGTAATGATCTGGTGCTCAGATCATGGCTCTCACCTCTTCCCTCCTTCCTTCTCCCTTTCTCCCCATTTCTTCCCTCCCCTTGCCCGTCATTCATCTCCCCCTCCCTTTGGTCATCCCTCCCATTTTTCTCATTCTGTTCCTCGTGGTCATAAACAGTTTGAAGTCACTTGTTTCCCCAATTCCTATTTCTCGAATCTTTCCAATCGTCTCCCAATCCCCTTTTCCAATCCGTTTTCCCCTCTCCCTCCCGTCCATCTTTCAAGTGACGAATTGGAAATAGTACCTCAGGGCCAATAAACTTGTGCTCTCAAATTACACGTCGGTGCCCAGCCGGCGTTTCCCACAGGACCGTCGTGCTGCTTTCCCAGTTACTGGAGTTTTCTGTCAAGAGGAATTGACCCTTATGGTTAAGCCTGGTTCTGATTGGTTGAAGCCATGGAGGCCTGTCTTCTAGAGCACCCAGTTGTGTTTAAATCCATTGGCCATAGGCTTGGAATAGGTAGAGTTAAATTGGGCCTAGGAACTAAGTGGGTGGAGCCTGTTCCACTGGTAAGCATTTTTAGAAAATATTAGTTAGTGTGTCTTGGAAGTGGACTGGGGTCCAGATCTCATGATCTGGGGGCAGTCAATCAACATCTTGGCCGAGATTGCAGGATTAAAGTAATGTCTGTCTGAGTTTTGATACAACAGAAAATGCACCTCAAATTTTCCAATTGCCTCGTAGGATGTCTTATCAAAGTAGGACATAACTTTCAATTTGATTTCAATTTACATCTTAAATAATAAAGGGTTTTAATGTAATTGTGTTTAGTTATCTGTTCTCCTTTTCTTTTGATGCGGTGTGAGTTATTTTATGGGGGATATTCTTGGGTGGTATTGGAAGCCTTTTGATCCTCAATCAATAAAGATTTCCTTTTTATTTCCCAAGCATTTTTCCAAAATTCTTATTTGCCCCTTTTGAGTGCCATGATTATTGAGTCCCTTCCTTCCTGGGGAAACAATAATTTAGACACATTTATTTATGGTTGGGAAGGTGGTGGCAGTGTTTTAATGATTTTAATTATTAGTTATAAATTAATAACCCCTGTTCTCTTTGTGTCCTCCTCATTTAATATTCAGATTATATTCGTGGCAGTCCAGTTAGGGGTCATACTGGACTGTAACAGTGTTAAACTGGGGTATTGAGTGAAGAAGGAAAAGAGTAGAGAGTAGGACAGGTTTATTACAATGGTAGTTTTCATAACTATTACATGGTGTTGAGGAAGGGTGAGGACACTATACTAAGTGGTGTTGGGGCAAAGTGGGGACACTATATTAAGAGGTGTTGAGGCAGGGTGAGGACAAAATACTAGGTGGTGTTGAGGCAGGGTGAGGACACCTTATTAGATGGAGTTGAGGCAGGGTGAGGAGACTATACTAGGTGGTGTATAGGAAGGGTGAGAACACTATATAAGGTGGGGATGAAACAGGGTGAGGACACTATACTTGGTGGGGTTGAGGCAGGGTGAGGACACTATACTAGGTGGTGTTGAGGCAGGGTGAAGACAATATATTAGATGGTGTCGAGGAAGGGTGAGAACACTTTATTAGGTGGTGTTGAGGCAGGGTGAAGAGACTATACTAGGTGGTGTATAAGCAGGGTGAGGACACTATACTAGGAGGGGTTGAGGCATGATGAGTACACTGTACTAGGTGGTATTGAGGCAGGGTGAGGACACTCCTAGGTTGTGTTGAGGCAGGGTGAGGACACTATATTAGATTTTGTTGAGGCAGGGTGATGACACTATACTAGGTGGTGTTGATTCAGGGTGAGGACACTATAGTAGGGTGGTGTTGAAGAAGGGTGAGGACACTACGAGATGGTGTAGAGGCAGTGTGAGAACAACATACTGTGGGGTGAAGTCGCAGGGTGAGGACAACATACCAGGAGGTGTAGAGGCAGGGTGAGGACAACATACTAGGAGTTGTTGAGGCAGCGTGAGGATAACATTCCAGGAGGTGTAGTGGCAGCGTGAGGATAACATTCCAGGAGGTGTAGTGGCAGGGTGAGGATAACATTCCAGGAGGTGTAGAGGCAGGGTGAGGACAACATACCAGAAGGTGTAGAGGCAGGGTGAGGACAACATACTAGGAGTTGTTGAGGCAGGGTGAGGATAACATTCCAGGAGGTGTAGAGGCAGGGTGAGGACAACATACTAGGAGTTGTTGAGGTAGGGTGAACATAACATACCAGCAGGTGTAGAGGCAGTGTGAGGACCACATACCAGGAGGTGTTGAGGCAGGGTGAGGACAACATACCAGGTGTAGAGGCAGGGTGAGGACAACATACCAGGAGGTGTAGAGGCAGGGTGAGGACAACATACCAGGAGGTGCAGTGGCAGGGTGTGCAGCAAGGTCCATACAGGAACTCTTTTCTCATACACCAGGCGCCACAGGTCCTGAACAGTGTGTGGCTGAGGGTGTTCACCAACCATATATGCATCCTGTATAAAATGATCACTGGTATAATATGATGAATGATAAAATATAGTTCTGTATAAAATAATCTCGGTTATAATATGGTCTATTTCAATGCAATCTCTGGTATAATAAAGTCCTGTTTAAATTAATTAATATGATCATTAGTTTAACATTGTTTTTATCAATATGTTTTAATATCTTCAAGAAAAATATAATATCTGGCATAATGTGGTGCATTACAATGTGATCACTGGTATGATATGGTCCTGTACAATATGATCACTGGTGTAATATGGTCCTGTACAATATGATCACTGGTATAATATGATCACTGGTATAATATGGTCCTATAAAATATGATCACTGGTATAATATGGTCCTATAAAATATAATCACTGGTATAATATGGTCGTGTATAATATGTTCCTTTACAATATGATCACTGGTATAATATGGTCCTGTACAATATGATCTCTGGTGTAATATGGTCCTGTACAATATGATCTCTGGTGTAATATGGTCCTGTACAATATGATCTCTGGTGTAATATGGTCCTGTACAATATGATCACTGTTATAATATGGTCCTGTACAATATGATCACTGGTATAAGATGGTCCTGTACAATATGATCACTTGGGGTGAAGTACAGACGTGTCGCCTGGCCTCTCTGGTAGTTGGGGTGTTTGCCGATTTCGTCGCCAGGGGGTGTGGGCGTCTCTGCCCCATCCCCCTTTGCTGTTGCTGTCTGGCTACATGTTGACGTGGCGAGCTTGACATGGGAGGCCATCTTCCCCCTGTTGTGCGGATGAACTCCGTGGGCTTGGAGTTCACTGGTCGTGCTGGATATACGGAAATCGAGATGGTTATGTGTGACATGCTTCGTATCCCAGTGATGGCCATCTACAGTGTTGAGCTTATAACTGCCCACCGGGTTGTTTTCAAGTTCGTGAGGGATGAGGATTACAGTGACTTCCTCCGACGTTACGAGGGGCATTCATTGCCGTTGCCGGGGTGGTGCCGGCTCTGTGTCCATCTCGGACCATAGTGGTGCCCTGACTTATGTCAGTGTGCATGGGGCGCCCCTGGAGTTTCCCAAGGACCTCCTCCGACGTTACTTCCAGAGGTTTGGAGCGGTCGTCAGTGTGTGGGTGAACACGCTCTCCTCAGGTAAGTATGCAGGTAGGCGGACGAACATTCGCACCTAGGGGATGCGCCTGCGGTTGGATATTCCATCTTCTGTCCAGCTTATGGGATACTATGTCCGGGAGTACTATGCCCGGCAACCCTGTACCTGTTTCCGGTGTGGCCTGTTGGGGCATCAGGCTGCCGGGTGCACTGCGGCTCCGGTTGCTTCTGTCAACTTGTTCCGGGAAGAGGATTTTCCCGCCGGTCCCTCTGGAGGAGGACTCCGGGGGTGAGGAGGTGAACGTCCCGTTAGCTGATGAGGCTCCCCTAGCGTCGCCTGACATTCCTCCGGTTGTCGCAGACCCTCCTCCGGATTTTGCGGTGCCGTCGGATGATTCTCCTGCTTCTGTCACTGTCCCCGCTGCTCCAGTGGGCCTTCCTGGTGCTCCCTGTGAGGCGTTGCCGTCTTCTTCTCCCTTGTCTTCAGCTGCTGCGCCTGGCCCTGTGTCGTCACCTCGGGTCCTGGCTGTGCTGGGAGCTGGGGCTGCTGCAGAGCCTCCTGCTGTGTGTGGCCCAGTTCCCCCTGTGGTAGAAGCTGCTGCCGTTCTGCGTCGGGCATCGGTTCGTCCGGCAAGTGGTGCCCGTGTTTCTGGGTCCGCATCCGGCTCTGACGATATCCGGCCAGTGCCCAAACGTTCTCGGCGTTCGTCTTCTGCCTGGGCCGATGTTGGTGACTTCAGTGACTGTGGGTCTTCGGGTGTCAATGGTGTGGCTCCGGATGCGTCGATGTCTACACAGTTGGCGGTGTCGGAGGTCCAATGGCCTGCTGGTACTGGTGCCTGTGTCTCTGACGTGTCTTCTGTTATTTCTCCACCAGAGGGCTCTCCGCAGTGGGGGGTAGTGGCTTCCGGTGACAGAGATGGTATGGATACAGGTGCTGGGCGTGGCCTGGTGGTGACATTACGGAGGGATGCACGCGCCGTCCGGGTTCCCTGCCATTGTCTGGTGTGCCCGTGGTTGCGGGTGCCCCTGTGGTGGTGCCCTCTGTCGAGCTCGTTCTTGAGAGGATGTACGTTGGGGCCCTGGGGGGCGTGTTGCCGGCGCCTGTGATGCCCCCGGGTCACAGGAAAACGATTGCCGAGTAAGTGCTGTCTGATGAACCAGACAACTTTCTTGGTGGGCAGGTTCCCTTCCTGTGGGGGCGCGTGGCGGCAACTCGCCTCGTCAGTGATACCATCTGGGTCCCCTGTTTGCGGGTGTTTGTTTCCGGGGTTCCGGATGTTATGGCTTCCCCTGTGGATGTGCGAGACCCTCGGCGGTGGTTGCTCTGGGAAGCGTTCAATGTGCGGTTCCCATGGGCAAGGTTTCCGAGCATGTATGTCCACTGATTTCCTGGTTGTGTGCTTTGGGTAGTACTGTATGCCCCTCTGGCCGTTTGCTTGCCCTATTGTGTTGTGTGCTCGTGCCTCTCCCTTTGTTTGTTGCGAGGCCGGTAGTTTGTTGTTCTTGTTCATGTGCGTGTTTTGTGTTATATTTCTGCCTTACATGTTGTATTGTTTTTTGTTTCTGCTTGATGTATATTATGATTTCTTCTGTATATTATGTTATCTTTCACGTTGTACTTTATGATGTGTTTTGTTGTCGGTCCTTCCGGCCGGTGACTATGTTTGATTTGTTTAATGTGTTCCTATGTTTTGTTTTATTGTCATTATTTGCTTGCATGATTGCTTGTTTACATTGTCTTATATTTTGTGTTATGTTCTTGACTTGATGTATGCTGTGTTTCTCTTGCGTTTGCACCAGTTATGATTATTGTTGTCCTGTGCTGTCGGTCCTTCTGGCCGGTGGTTTTCTGTTTTGCTTTGTTGTTGTGTTCCTATGTTTCATTGTATTTAATTGCATGCATTCATGTAAAAAAAATAAAAAAAAATATGATCACTGGTATAAAATGGTCCTGTACAATATGATCTCTGGTATAATATGGTCCTGTACAATATGATCACTGGTATAATATGGTCCTGTATAATATGGTCCTGTACAATATGATCACTGGTATAATATGGTCCTGTACAATATGATCACTGGTATAATATGGTCCTGTGTAATATGGTCCTGTACAATATGATCACTGGTATAATATGGTCCTGTGTAATATGGTCCTGTACAATATGATCACTGGTATAATATGGTCCTGTGTAATATGGTCCTGTACAATATAATCACTTGTATAATATGGAAGAAGAACAGTTACAAAGTGGTCCATATAGAGCGGCAAGAACAGGGAAGAGACGGGAACCCTCGGCAGCACCCCAACTTTAAGAGAACTATTTTCCGTTCAAAGAGAAAGTTAGTCAACACAGTCTGATGAGTTAGTCATCACAGTCTGATGAGTTAGTCAACAGAGTCTGATGAGTTTGTCAAGACAGAGTCTGATGAGTTAGTCATCACAGTCTGATGAGTTAATCAACACAGAGTCTGATGAGTTAGTCAAGACACAGTCTGATGAGTTAGTCATCACAGTCTGATGAGTTAGTCAACGCAGAGTCTGATGAATTAGAATCAACACAGTCTGATGAGTTAGTCATCACAGTCTGATGAGTTAATCATCACAGTCTGATGAGTTAGTCAACACACACTCTGATAAGTTCGAGGAAAACGTCAGTGGGAAGCGGGAGATGAAGAAGGCCCTCAGACGCCTTCTAATTAAAAGGAAAGGAAGTTCTAAGTTAATAATAATGTTATTATTATTAACTTAGAAACGAGAACGTCATCAAGGGGGAACATTTGTAAACACATCAGTCGACATCAAGACCAAGCATCTTAGAGGGGAGGGGAGGGGGCTGCAGGTGCAACCTTTGTATTAAGTCATAGGAGTGACGAAGGTGGGCAGGAGAGTGACGAAGGTGGGCAGGAGAGTGACGAAGGTGGGCAGGAGAGTGACGAAGGTGGGCAGGAGAGTGACGAAGGTGGGCAGGAGAGTGACCAAGGTGGACAGGAGAGTGACGAAGGTGGACAGGAGAGTGACGAAGGTGGACAGGAGAGTGACGAAGGTGGACAGGAGAGTGACGAAGGTGGGCAGGAGAGTGACGAAGGTGGGCAGGAGAGTGACGAAGGTGGGCAGGAGAGTGACGAAGGTGGGCAGGAGAGTGACCAAGGTGGACAGGAGAGTGACGAAGGTGGACAGGAGAGTGACGAAGGTGGACAGGAGAGTGACGAAGGTGGGCAGGAGAGTGACGAAGGTGGACAGGAGAGTGACGAAGGTGGACAGGAGAGTGACGAAGGTGGACAGGAGAGTGACGAAGGTGGATAGGAGAGTGACGAAGGTGGACAGGAGAGTGACCAAGGTGGACAGGAGAGTGACGAAGGTGGACAGGAGAGTGACGAAGGCGGGCAGGAGTGACCAAGGTGGGCAGGAGAGTGACCAAGGTGGACAGGAGAGTGACGAAGGTGGACAGGAGAGTGACCAAGGTGGGCAGGAGAGTGACGAAGGTGGACAGGAGAGTGACGAAGGTGGGCAGGAGAGTGACGAAGGTGGGCAGGAGAGTGACCAAGGTGGGCAGGAGAGTGACGAAGGTGGGCAGGAGAGTGACGAAGGTGGGCAGGAGAGTGACGAAGGTGGGCAGGAGAGTGACGAAGGTGGGCAGGAGAGTGACGAAGGTGGGCAGGAGAGTGACGAAGGTGGACAGGAGAGTGACGAAGGTGGACAGGAGAGTGACGAAGGTGGACAGGAGAGTGACGAAGGTGGACAGGAGAGTGACGAAGGTGGACAGGAGAGTGACGAAGGTGGACAGGAGAGTGACGAAGGTGGACAGGAGAGTGACGAAGGTGGACAGGAGAGTGACGAAGGTGGACAGGAGAGTGACGAAGGTGGACAGGAGAGTGACGAAGGTGGGCAGGAGAGTGACGAAGGTGGGCAGGAGAGTGACGAAGGTGGGCAGGAGAGTGACGAAGGTGGACAGGAGAGTGACGAATGTGGGCAGGAGAGTGACGAAGGTGGACAGGAGAGTGACGAAGGTGGGCAGGAGAGTGACGAAGGTGGACAGGAGAGTGACGAAGGTGGGCAGGAGAGTGACGAAGGTGGGCAGGAGAGTGACGAAGGTGGACAGGAGAGTGACGAAGGTGGACAGGAGAGTGACGAAGGTGGACAGGAGAGTGACGAAGGTGGGCAGGAGAGTGACCAAGGTGGGCAGGAGAGTGACGAAGGTGGGCAGGAGAGTGACGATGGTGGGCAGGAGAGTGACGAAGGTGGACAGGAGAGTGACGAAGGTGGACAGGAGAGTGACGAATGTGGGCAGGAGAGTGACGAATGTGGGCAGGAGAGTGACGAATGTGGGCAGGAGAGTGACCAAGGTGGGCAGGAGAGTGACGAAGGTGGGCAGGGGAGTGACGAAGGTGGACAGGAGAGTGACGAATGTGGGCAGGAGAGTGACGAATGTGGGCAGGAGAGTGACGAATGTGGGCAGGAGAGTGACCAAGGTGGGCAGGAGAGTGACGAAGGTGGGCAGGGGAGTGACGAAGGTAGGCACGAGAGTGACGAAGGTGGACAGGAGAAAAGGTTTAAATTGTAGACGGTAAACGGTAGAAATAAGGAAGAGAAGGACAGATGAAAAGTAAACATTTTACGGGATCAGAGTCAGGAGAACACGGGCTATAGAGCTCTCTTAGTTTATGGTTAAAATAAGTTTTAAGGCGATCCAAAGGGTTAGAAGTTAGAGGGGCATATGTGCGGGAGTCAGAGAGCTAAACATCAGCCTTCTGGTGGTAGTCCACACGGTCCAGGACAGTTGAACATCAGCCTTCTGGAGGTAGTCCACACGGTCCAGGACAACCACCGAATTGCCTTTGGTGGAAGGAAGGATAACAGTGGAGTTGTTAGCCTTCAGGGAGGCAAGGGCAAGCTGGGAGCCACGAGGAAGGTGGCGGCTGTTAGAACCACACTGCCATGAGCGGGGATAAGGGCCTCCAAAGGAAGACAGTAAATCAACTGTCAACTTGGTTTACTGTCCAAAACGTCCTAGACGGTCCGTCCAGGACAGACCGAAACGTCGTCGTCCCTTCATTTTCTAGTGTGTGGATTGGTCAACATACTTCAGCCACGTTATTGTGACTCATCGCTTGATACAACAGTGTCTGCAAGATGAGGTTTACGAATTTGCCAGTCTAAATGTCTTCCATTCTTGCTTCGTAGGCTTTCCAGTCAATTTATTTCAAGTTGAAGTCTTCAAGTTCCAAAAACTGTGTTTTATCTTTATATGCTTTTGTTATAATTTCGCTCATGATCACTATGAGGCCCTCTCGTTTGTCATCCAGCCCTTCCTCTAACCATGTGTTGCTTGCTGGTGGGCTGTAGGTTTGAATGATTAACAGTTTATCATCCTGATTACAAATCTCTAGTAACATTGTCATTATCTTGTGGCTTGTCAATTAAAATTTCTCTTTGCTTCAGGGATTCTTTCACTGTCACGTCACGGCAACTCCTTCACCTTGACAAATTGTTCTGTTACATTTCAAAATTGAGTAGTGCCTCGGGAATAAAACCGCAGGGTTTGCTTTAGTTTTGTTTTTTCAATAATCTCTGGCGTCGTAAGCTGTATTGTATTGTTTAGCTTTAATATTTGTTTATCTCACTCCATCTATGTTAGTATATATAATTTTCAGGAACACGTTCGGACTCCCTTTGTCTTTTATTCCGCTTTCCTCTAAAAAGTTTTGCTTTGTATATATATACCACTTCACAGGCTTCCCTATCACCTTGCAGACAAAATGACTTTCTTGTATCTTTGTTCCTACCCTTGTTTAGATGTTTTATTTCCTTAAGGTTAAGTTTTAGCTTTTCCCCATCTTCCATTGAAAAATCTCATCCTAATGATCACAGTTTTCTATTTTTATAATTTAGCATTTTCCTGGCATTCCTAAGCACTTCTGATATTTGTTTCACTCCATTAAATATCACCCTTAATGGGCGATTCTTATCTTTCTCATATTTGCCTATTCTCCTAAAATTACGGACATTTACCTCTGACGGGAGACCTTCTCCTAAACCTATTATCTTCTCAATGACTTTTACCTCATCTGTTGCTCTGTCCATAGACAGTATCTCCTTTTGCAAACACCCAAAAATTATTATGGACTTATTGGTTCTTGGGAAGTGAGGTACCTACCTTCCGGTTTGTAGGTACCTACCTACAGTGTTTTGTGCAAATATACTGCTGGTAACCAGCTCGTTCCTCAATGCTTGCATAATGTCTCTTTCTTGCTTCTAATTTCTGTTTTTCACTGCCAAACATATTTATTTATTTATTTCTATTTTACAACTTGTGCATATTTTTCCTTCACTTCCTCTTTACACTTTTCCAATCTTCTCCTAGATGAGTTGCCGCTCAAGATTTCATTTGGCATACCTTTGCCTAACTCCTTGTTTTGGCTGGCAAGCAAAGATGCACTGAGACCTACAAATTTATGTTTTCCTATTAGCGCCTTCAAATTCATCCCCTTAATTTTCCATGTGTAATATTCTTTCCATATTTCCCTGATTTGTTCTTCTTTTTTTGTTCAAATTTAAGAAATTTTCCTTTATAATACTTTAGGAAATCTTCAGTCATCACTAACTTGCCAAGAAAACCACCCTCAATTATTTCTTTCATCGTGGAAACCGAGACATTGCCATATGTTGTTGTTGGGAGTCAGTTCATTAGACATCCGAGGGTAAGAAAGGCGGGGCCCAAGACCTAACAGGAAGAGGTCGTGTTTATTGAGCCAGAGCATCACCACGCTCTTTAGAGCATAGAACCCAATATTAAGTGAAACTCTTCCACAAGACATTCACAAGTTTCTCATAACGTGTCATCATAGCACCTGCTGACTCTGATCCATGACCCATGACCTACCTTCCGGTCCTTACCGTTGACCCTGGACCATGACCAATGACCTACCTTCTGATCCAAACCGTTGACCCTGACCCATGACCTTTGACATACCTTCCGGTCTATACCATTGACCCTGGACCGTGACCCATGACGTACCTTCCAATCCAAACCGTTGACCCTGACCTATGACCTATGACCTACTTTCCAGTCCATACCATTGACCCTGGAACCTTACCCATGACCTACCTTCAAGTTCAAACCATTGACCGTGACCCAAGACCTACCTTACAGTCCAAACCGTTGACTCTGGCCACGTTGACGTACTCGGTCGTTGAGACGTGCTCCAAACTCTTCAGGAGAACCTTCCTGCTGTCCGCTGCCAACCACACAACACTGTTAGCTCTTAACAACCTTAAGATGTACTATACAAATAACAGTAATCTTAGAAGCCAAATAAACGAGTTAAGTGTACATGCGTACACAATAACACTAGATATAAGATATTATTGCGCAAATAGACACATTGGGGAATGAAGAAAATTCATGAATACCAATTATCTCACACGAACAGACAAATGAGACGAGGAGGTGGAGTAGCAATATTTGCCAGGGAAAAAATTAACTAATATCAAAGAGGGGATCAACACTGTCCCGCTCCCACAAACTATTTGGTTACAATCACTGCTCGATTTATAGGGAACTAATTTTAGTGGAATAAACTGGAGAAGGGAAAATTGAGACTAGAACCGTCCCAAACCTGAGCCGATGCTCGAATCATAGGATCGAACTCGGTCCTAGTCAAAAAGTGTGTGGAAGGTCCACACACAGATTGGGACGGGTGTTGTCGCGGGGGTAAAAATGTAGTCAAAAGTGTGTGTAAGGTCCGTAGATTGGGAAAGGTGTTGTCGCAGGAGTAAAAGGGGTAAGAGGGCATAAAGGGACCCCCCTCACCACGGCTGGACCAGGGTAGGTGTTACGAACCCAACAACATCTTCGGAGTATGGAGTAGCGACGTCAGCGCCATCTGTGAGTCGGCTCTCTAAGCCCCCCATGGGTTCTGACGTAATGTGGACAATGCCATCTGGTGGTGGCTGTCTAATACCTGCAAATGGCTCAAAATTCCTGTCTTGGTCAGCCAGAGGGGTCGTTGTGAGTAACCTCTGGTGAGGTGGCGAATCAAGACCAGCGCCACCTAGGGTGTGCTACAGAGCACAATGTCAACTCGCCAGTGGGTTAGTGGTATTTCCTAGTTTCACCAGTACCGGCAAGGTAATTGATGACGTTTTTGTGTCAACAGAGGTGATGTCTGGGGGCAGCGGTACTGGAGACGGCAGTTCATCTTGGGCAGTCCACGGTCTCCCGACATGGTCCTGGAAAAACGACCATGTAAGCCGCCGCCGTTCTGAAGCAGTGTGGTAGCTGCTAGTTACATAATGTTGAAAGAGATCGGCGTGCCTCCAGAATTGGCTTAGGGGAGAAACTGACGGCAGGGAGGTACCTGTTGAGTAGTGCTGCTAGCTGGACGTTAGAGACTGCTGCCAGGAGACCGGTACCCCTGTATTGGTTTGTGACCGCGCTCAGAGTGTGGGTGAGGTCCTCTGCCAGCGAGTAGCTGGAGAGCGGTCGTGGGGGGTTCAGACACATCATGACACTTTCAGTGGGCTGGCCCATGTACAGGTGGACTCGCCAGTGTTTCCCAGTAAGGTTGGATAAGTTACTGGGCAGTGGAGAAACACTGGGTTTTGACGAATCTGCACGTGAGCACGTTTATTATCCTGAGTGAAAGGATATCCTTGTATATAGGTGTAGAAATAGCCATTTGTTCTTTTATATATATTTAATGGTGATGGTGTACATATATATAAACTTAACGGTAATGGTTAAATATATAATACATTGGTGAAAGGAACAGCGTTTTGTTCATGCTCTCCCTGCTTTATTTTGCACTATATCGCCACTTTCTTGAAAGCGTACTACGGACTCTGGATCGGATACAGCACATAGGTTCCTCCAACAAGAACCCGGTTTCTAGTCTTAAGTGGTCGTAACAGTTGGAGACCGAGCTTTAAAAATGGGTGGTTAGGGCAGGGCCCGTTAAGGAGGATAGGAGAGAGGGGAAGGTAGTCGGTAGCTTTGACTGATAGTGGGTCTCATTCTCGGGATTTATTTTTTTAACGTGAGACCCCTCAGGTCTAGGAAAGTGATTAGGTGGGCGGTTTTGGCAATGGGGCATGAAGTGTGAGGGTGACACACACACACACACACACACAAGGAGTCAGTGAGGGATTATTGAGTTATGTGTGTGTGTATTACGAAAAACGTTGTATCTCGCCGATACCACCGCCGGTGAGCTGAGTCGTAACAAGGGAGGGCAGATTTGTGTCTCGCCAACCTGTCCTCTTACAAAGAACGTCACTTGTGGCCGTTTGCTCCGTATGGCCGAATATAGACGTAATTTGAAAATGGAAAAAAAATGAAAATAATTTTTTGTTTTCAACAACAGTAAGTTAAGGGTCCTCTGATAGGTTAGGTGGGCAGGAAATTCTCAGTTTCAAAACGGTATGAAAAACGTTAAAGAAAAGTTTCCTCTTTTAAAACGAGAATTACGTTACTGACACAGTTTCGCGCTCCAGAGACGCAGTCCCTCCGTTCGAAATTTTTCTCAAGGACGTTCACCAGGGACGCAGGTTGCGCCCCAAATTAAAATATTTGTTAAATTTCAAATTTTTATCCGATCATTCGGGGACTAATTTTAAAATGGGCGCCTTTAGATTGCGCATAATATACCATAATAAACGACGTAGCATGACAATTGAGGTCAGAACACTGGAAAGATTATGAATACTTTTGCTGCGTTGAGTGTCAAAATTAAAATATTTGTCAAAATTCCATTTATTGTCCTATTATTATGGGACAAATTGTAAAATGCGCGCCTTTATATTGTGAACAATTTAATACCAAAAGTGACAATGTAACATGAAAATTGATGTTATCAAACTGAAGAGTATCCACACTAGATGGCGGATGTGCCAGTTGGTTCTGGCTCACAGGTAACACATAGGTGCGCCCTAGCCTACATAAGTGTAAAAATGTGCTTAACAAAGAGAGGTCCCGCCAAACACACATCGAAACTACGGCGTTGGTACAACGTTCGAGCAAGTTTTAACACCTAACCAGTTATAACAACCAATATAGCAAGTTGTAACAACGTTCTAATACGTCATAAACACGTTAAGCCAAGATGTAACAACTTCTTTACAAGTTGTAACAAGCGGAAAATAGAGACATTTACGGTTTGTGTTTCCAGGGGTATTAACTGCAATCACTTTTAATACATATATTTCTCTAAATTGATGAATTAGACATAAAGGGAGATGTGACAATCTTAATTAAGCACTCCAACACTAAATCCCCTGGGATGAACCATGCCCAACTTCCCAGGTAAAAAACTACCCTTTGATTGCTGAAGATAGATTACCCATGTATACAATACAATTCGATATATATAATTGTCTACATCCTATCTTTAAACAGCTAGACTGTTAGTGACGAGGATGGGTTGACGGGTTTGGTGGATACCAGGGAGGAAGTTGTTAAACAGATGGATGTGTTCATGCCAAACAAGTCCCCAAGGTAAAATGAGGTATTTCCTGGAGTACTTGAAGAATGTAAGGAGGTGTTTGGTGAGCCCTTGCCTTGCATATTTGGTGGATCACTGAAGTCGAGCGAGGCACTAGAGTTGTGGAAGGTTTCGGGTGTGGTACAAAGTTATATGAGGAGAGATAGCTCACTTGAGGCGAACTCTTATTCAATTAGTTTGGCATCTATTGTGGGAGGGTTGCTTTGGATTGATGAGCACAGGGGCCATTTGTTTAATGTGAGGGGTGTTCGGGTTTGGTAGAATTATTTTCGTTCTTCCACAGGTATATCTCAGTTGATAGCAGGGAAGATTGTGACATTTAATATTTTGACTTTGTTTGAGTCTGTGATACTATTCTTAATAAAGGACTCATTGGAGGGGGTAGGGGGTGTATGGTATTGTGTGTGGTTGTCTTGGATTAGTTTGATGCTTGGTTGTTTCAGAGAAAGCGGAGAGTTGGCATAGGTATAGATGAGTCCAACAGGGAGGCCGTTGAGGGCGGAGTGGCCCAGGAGTCTGTCTTGGGACCTCAGCTGTTTACATCTATCTATATAAATAAAAATGTAAATGTTCGTTTGTTCAAAATCGTTAATCTCCGAAAGTTCTTCAACGATTGGTTTGAAATTTTGACACAACGTTCCATTTGCATACGAGCGTGTTTTTATATACATACTATATAGATGTCACATCTGTGACAGGTAAAATACATTTAAAAAAAAAAAAACTTTCTCGTGCGAGGGAAATCTTCAAAACGTCTTTTCAGATTGCTTTGAAATTTTGACACGACGCTGTATTCGAATACGCCCGTGTTTTTATATACCTACTATATACATGCCACACACCTGTGATAGGTAGAAACATGCTTTTTTTGAAAAAACAGCTCCATATATTGCATGTAAAGGCAACACATGAAGTAATCTCCGAAAGTTCTTCACCAATTGCTTTCAAATTTTGACACACGTTCTATTCAAATACATGCATGTTTTTATATACCTTCTATATACATGCCACACCTGTGACAGGTAAAAACCTGCGGTTTTTTTGGAAAAAGTGCCATCTGTTGCACGAAAAAACAACACTCACACTATACTAAATGTTACAATTCCATTTTAATGTTTCTGATTGCATTGAAAAATTTAATTCTCATAGATTTCGATTTATTTTCATTTTGATTTAATTTCTGTCTGACATTGCATTGGAATTGAGCTGTGTTGTTCACCATACCATTCATTTCATGAGTATAGTTAATTTTTATAATTTTTCATTTTTTCATTTTGTTTTTTTAACTTTTCTTTTTATTTTTCAGTGAGGGAACATCAAATCATTTGATGTTCCCATTTTTCTGATGAGAACATCATATCATTTGAAAACTGATTGGACTAGGGGGTGGGTAGGCTGTAGGGACGGAAGTGGGGGATGGTGGGGAGGACTAAGGGATTGGGGAGGGGTGTAATGGTGGGGAGGATGGGGGAGAGGGGGATGTTGGGGAGGACGAGGGGATGGGGGAGTGGAGAATAGTGGGGGGGGGGACAGGGCAGTGATGGAAGGTGGGGAGGATGAGGGCACAGGGGAGGGGGGAATTGTGGGGAGGACAAGGGTACAGGGGAGAGGGAAGGACGGGGGAATGGAGGATTGGGGGATGGTGGGGAGGACGAGGGGAGGAATGGTAGGGAGGACAAGGAGACGAAGAAGGGGGAATGGTGAGTAGGACGGGGGAGACAAGGGAGGATTGCTGGGGCTCAGAAATGTGCATGCATTGCTGAGCCATAGCAATGTGTGGCCGGGTACAGTTAGTATATATATATAAGTTCAGCTTTAGTCTCCATACCATTGAATGGACATAAATTCACTTGAATACAAACAGAGAACGATGACAACTAATCCCAGAAATTAGAAACTTTGAGAAGAGATGTAATAAAATCTTAATTTACATTGTCTAGAAAGACGAAGAGTAAGGGATGACAATGCTGAAATATATACATGGATAAAGATGTGTATAACGGACGAAAACAAGGTTTTAAATTTATCAATCTATATAAATAAAAATGGAAATATTCGTTTGTGCATAACCACTAATCTCCGAAAGTTCTTCACCGATTGCTTTAAAATTTTCACACAACGTTGCATTCGAATAGGTGTGTCTTTTTATATGCACACTATATAGATGCCTTCCCTCTGACAGGTGTAAACATGCGTTTTTGAAAAACAGTGTCATCTGTTGCACATAATAGCAATATGCACACTATAATAAATGTTACGAATTCCATTTCAATGTCTCCGATTGCATTGATAAATTTTATTTTCATAGACTTCGATTTTTTTTTTTTTTTATTGAATTATTTTGTTTGACATTGTGTTGGAATTGAGCTGTGTTGTTTACCATACCGTTCATTTCGTAAGTATAAGTATAGATGCCACACCCGTGACAGGTACAACTATGCTTTTCTTGAAAAACAGCGCCATCTATTGCATGTAAGAGCCACACACACTAATACTAAATATGTTACAATTCCATTTCAATGTTTCTGATTGCATTGATAAATTGAATTTTCGTAGATTTTGATTTTTCATTTTGATTTGTGTGAATTGCATTGGAATTGAGCTGTGTTGTTTACTATACCGTTCAATTTCGTGAGTATAGTTTATTTCTTATTTTTTCATATTTTCATTTCATTTTTAACTGTTTTTCTTATATTTCAGTGATGGGAACATCGCATCATTTGATGTTTCCAATTTTATGATGGGAACATCAGACCATTTGAGAAGGCATCGGACGAGGGAGTGGGGAATGGTGGGGATGATGAGGGGACAGAAGTGAGAGATGGTGGGGAAGACGAGGGAACAAGAGAGGGTGTAATGGTGGGGAAGGACGAAGGGACTGGGGAGTTTGGGATGACGGAGACGAGGGGATGGGGGGAAGGGAGAATGGTGGGGAGGACAAAGGGACAGGGGAGTGGGGCACGGTGGGAAGGAAGAGGGGATGGTGGAGTAGGGATGACGAGGGGACGGTGGAGTGGGGAATGGTTGGAAGGCCAAGGAGACGGGTGAGGAGGGAATGGTGGGGAGGACTGGGGGACAGGGAAGGTTGCTGTGGCTCAGCAACGCAACAACGCGTGGCCGGTTACTGCTAGCACAAAATAAAATTTGTGGAAAGATCTGGGTTAATACTGCTTTGGAAACACGGTTGTTGTTTTATGGAACATATTGCCTGATAAAACAATAGGCGTTGGATCGCTGGATTGGTCCAGGCAAAGGTTAAAATATATGAACGAGTTTGAGTGGAGTTAAATAGGAGCTGCCTCATATAGGCCAATAGGCGTTTTACACTTTTCTATAGTCTTAGGTTACTCTTAATGATATTATTATTAACAACGTAGAGATCATTGTATATATCAAAATAGCTTAGAACTTGTGTATTAGGATTGCTCTTGTCCTGTCCCGGGGGAGGGGGGGGGGGGATAAGTCATAAACTGGGTCACACCTTACCTGGCAAAATGTCGAGGTTCCTGTTCAGGTGGGCATGTTTCGGGTCCTTAGCAAACTTGAAACTCAAGTCCTTGGGCATGTCCTTCAGCTTCTGTGAACAATAACACAGTGTTGTCATATTCAGCATGTTAGTAAGTGGTGAGTGAAAAACACTCGATTGCTTCAGTTTAATGTGTATAGAATAGTATAATGAGCTCGGAAAATATGTAATACACAACACTAATGTGCAGGGAGCTTTGCCACAGTTTAATAAGTACACGCGACCTTCTCAGGATTTCACACACGATGATCACCGTCGTCCTTCTGAGTCGAAGATGACCATGACATCAATATATCAGGTTGAAGGTCGGTGGCCTGTGTGCCCGTTGAAAGAGGGTGAGACCATTATGGGTTCAGAAGGCTCGCCCACATACACACGGGACGTTTGTGGGTAAGTGCTACTGCAGGGGGTGGAGGTTGCTCTAGCTTTGCACGCGGCATGTTTCCTCTGGGACTCTACAGTCCGTCTATTCTTTGCCGCACCGGTCACTGTGGTGACTTTGCTTTTCCTAGTTGGAAGATCTAAAGCAAACGACTCCTAAGTGTTGGGGTTAATGTCCAGGTCTATGAGGATTACTTTGAGGAAACACTTGAATAGTTTCTTCTGCCACCCAACTGAACTCGTGCCCTGACATAATTCTCCATGCAGCAGCCGTTTTGGCAATCGGCTGTCAGGCAGTATGACAACGTGACCTGCCCATCTGACCTGAGTTTTCTGTAGAAGGGTGTAGACGCTGGGAATACCGGGCCCCTTCCAGGACCTCCCTGTCCAGGATTTTGTCTTTTCACCTGATGTGGAGGAGCCTGCGGAGACAGCTTAAGTGAAAGTGATTAAGTTGTTCGGCGTGTTTGCTGTAGACAGTCCTGGTCACACTGGCATAGAGAAGGGTGACGAGTATCACTGCAATGTTGACCTGGCAACTGCACATAGTACAGTACAGCCAGGACCAGTGTTGCTGCTACCTGATGACTTGTGTTGACCTCTAGCTCTGTTGATGCTTCCTGATGACCAGTGTTGACCTCTAGCTCTGTTGATGCTTCCTGATGACCAGTGTTGACCTCTAGCTCTGTTGATGCTTCCTGATGACCAGTGTTGACCTCTAGCTCTGGTGCTGCTACTTGATGACCAGTGTTGACCTCTAGCTCTGGTGCTGCTACTTGATGACCAGTGTTGACCTCTAGCTCTGTTGCTGCTATGTGATGACCAGTGTTGACCTCAAGCTCTGGTGCTGCTATGTGATGACCAGTGTTGACCTCTAGCTCTGGTGCTGCTATGTGATGACCAGTGTTGACCTCAAGCTCTGGTGCTGCTATGTGATGACCAGTGTTGACCTCAAGCTCTGGTGCTGCTATGTGATGACCAGTGTTGACCTCAAGCTCTGGTGCTGCTATGTGATGACCAGTGTTGACCTCAAGCTCTGATGCTGCTATGTGATGACCAGTGTTGACCTCAAGCTCTGGTGCTGCTATGTGATGACCAGTGTTGACCTCTAGCTCTGGTGCTGCTATGTGATGACCAGTGTTGACCTCTAGCTCTGGTGCTGCTATGTGATGACCAGTGTTGACCTTTTTTTTTCTTTTCTTTCTCGTAAAAGAAAATACATAAAATATACAATATAAAGGTACCGAAACATCAAAATAAAACCGAGCATCTGCTCCACATCACACAAAAACACGCGAAGTCAGAAATGCAACGTAGAACATTCAAAATAAGCTTCACAGCAAAATACAAAACAACGAACACATAATAACAAGAAACACAGATTACAAGGCACATAGAGCAAAGAACGTAAAAGGAAACATAAACAGAACAAAAATTTAAAGACATAGGAACACACAATAAGAAACCGCACCACCCAGATGGGGCGTGCCAAGTATGGACATTAAACTACAAACGTACACAAAAGAAAAACACCAGAAAACAAAAGTAACAAACATAAAAACAATGCAAAACAGACACATTACACACGGAACATGTGGCACACCACAAAACAAAGAAATAACGCACGACCGGGAAACAAAGCGACAACCACACCCCAAACACACATGAAAGAAAATACCGGAACATGCAGGAACCGGCAAAGGAAACACAAAACACACACAAATAAGAAAGTGTGCACACACACACACACAAACATAACACCACAAGAACACAACACAGAATACAACATTCAAACACACAGGCAAAACAATAGCACAGTATAAACAAAACACAAGCAAAACAACTAAACACAACGTCCAAACGAGGCGAGCCAAAAACATGGATACAAAACATACATATAGTAGACAAGGCAACAATTACAAAAATACAGGGTGTATATAATTCAAGCACTCTGCTTATTTGTCCGGGAACACCAGCTCCGGAAAGCGCAACCAGTAAGCCTCCCAAATCAGCATGACGTCATTGGGCATTTGTCTACCAGGAAATGCACAGGGCCGAGGCATCAGATCCGGCACCACATAATATAATCCCTTCACCTGCGGCACCCAAATAGTAGAGGAGCACCACGGGCTCGGACGCACCCGGCCATCCAAGGTAAGTTTCAAAGACTGCGACGCAGGGACCACGTCCCCGGAGGCAATGACCAGAGACGGGTGCCGCACGAGGGGGTCGAGCACTGAGTGACGTACTTGGTTTGTCATAGGGAGCCGCACTGGGATTCGTACGGGGCTTCACACCAGGGGTATCCGCATGGGGACACAGACGCGCCAGGGCCCCCACCTCCGGGCACATCCTTCTTCAGCACCACGACGAGGTCACGAGCACCGAGGGCAATCACGCACGGAGAGCAGCCAACAGCAGGAGGCGCAGGGACGACACAGGAGGCAGCACAGAGCCCTCCACAGCACCATCAACCACATCGTCACACTTGACAGCCCACTCATGAGGGGGCAACACATTCCAAGCCGTCCGAGAACACTTGGACACAGGTCGCTGATCATCCGAACTGTCGCCACCAGCAGGAGGCATGTGAGTAGAGCCCTCGTCAGGCCGCACCACACCGAGCAAAGTGCAAGCCGGAAGTACAGCATCCTCACCAACAGGGGTTACAGGCCCATACCCCACATGCGACACAGGGAACAAGCACTGGAGACAGGGCATGTGAGGCCAGCGGAGACGAGGGGGCAGACAGAGGCGTGGGAGCCGGCAAAGGGGAAGGAGCCAGTGGAAGCGAGGGAGCCAGCGGAGGCGAGGGAGCTGGCTGATGCGAGGAAGCAGATGACGGGAAAGGGTCTGCAACCACCATAACCCCGACACCCACACCACCAACCGCACTTATGGGCACGACGGCCGAGGAATCCGGTAACACCACCGGAGCAGCAGACGGCAGGAAATCCTCCCTCACCACATCAGCACAGAGAGAACTCGTCATCCCACTCCAACAGCCTCCAGCAGGACGAACTCCAGTTCCAACAGGAGTGACCAAGAATGCAGCACTTGCAAAACACAAATTTGCGTCAGCCAACATTGCATCCGTCCTCATACAAGGGGCACTGCCTAGAACCGAGAGATCCTCTTGCTCTGCAAAGGAGAAAAATCCAACAGAAAGGGAGCCAAATGAGGCAAGGAAGCCAGCGGAGGCAAAGGAGCTAGCTGATGCGAGGAAGCCGACGACTGGGGCGGGTCCGCAAGCACTATAACACCCACACCACCAACCGCACTTATGGGAACGACGGCCGAGGAACCCAGTAACACCACCGGGACAGCAGATGGCAGGAAATCCTTCCCCACCACATCAGCGCAGAGAGAACTCACAGTCACACTCCAACAGCCTCCAGCAGGACGGACTCCAGTTCCACCAGGAGTGACTAAGAAAGCAGCACTTGCAGAACACAGATTTGCGTTAGCCAACACTACATCCGTTCTCATACAAGGGGCACTGTCCAGAACCGAGAGTTCCTCTTGCTCTGGCAAAGGAGGAAAATCCGCTTCAGGAAACACGTTAACCCGTTCATACATCCGAGTGTTGCACGCAGCAGCCAAATGTACAATGTGGCCACAATTAAAATATGTCTGAGTTTGCTCACGGGAGTAGAAGCAGACCATAAAGCCAGCAATTGATAGGGAAGGTACATTCCCACGAAGAACGGCGCATTCAAACACTTCAAACGGCGCAATCTTAATAGACAGGTGGTGTACTCCTCACTCAGATTCGTCAGTCACAGAGACTTGACCGTAGCACAGCCGCACCTCCCAATCCTGTCCAGAAATTTCCTGAACAAGCCACTCTCAGCGAACTTCACAACCACTCTGTCCTCACGAACGACCTGAAGACCAGCGAGATCTCCCACTTTCATGTCCATAACATCAGTGTTGCTGATGATACCAATATCCACCCTACAGGAAAATGTCAGCCCTGCCGACTCCTTCCTCTGCAGTGGCGGCACGTAAGTCCCTATACTGAGACTGAAAAACAGTTACCCCGTAGTGGCAAACTACAACTCGGCAGGGCAACCGCCAATCGTCCAACGTAAATACCAGCCAGGAGCAGAGAGAGACCTCAGGAACGTCCTACTCGGTTGGTTGTTGGCACCACACTCAGTATTGACCTCTAGCTTTGGTGCTGCTACCTGATGACCAGTGTTGACCACTGGGTGCTGGTGCTGGTGTTAGGGTGGTGGTGCTGGTGTTAGGGTGGTGGAGTTGGTGTTAAGATGGCGATGCTGGTGTTAGTGTGATTGTGCCGGTGTTAGGGTGGTTGAATTGGTGTCAGGGTGGTGGTGCTGGTGTTAGGATGGATGTGTTAGGGGTGGTGTGGCTGGTGTTTGGGTGGTGGTGCTGGTGTTAGGGTGGTGGTGATGGTGTTAGGGTGGTGGTGTTGGTGTTTGAGTCGTGGTACTCACCTAGTTGTGGTTGCTGGGGTTGAGCTTTGGCTCTATGGTCCCACCTCTCAACCGTCAATCAACTGATGTACAGATTCCTGAGCCTACTGGGCTCTGTCATATCTACATTTGAAACTGTGTATGGAGCCAGCCTCTACCACATCATTTCCTAGTGCACTCCATTTATTAACTACTCTGACACTGAAAATGTTCTTTCTAATGTCTATGTG